ATTATTATCTGTAACATTCTGCGAGAAAGCATTTACATACAAACATCTCTGAAGAAATGTTTTGCCTCCAGGTTGTTGGCCTTGCAACTGATGGCATAGCTGCTATAATGGGCTAATACAGAGCAACTGTTGCACTCAACCCTAACCTGACCGTCGTTCACTGTATGAATCACGAGTTAGACCTCTCGATGGTGAGAGATGTTGCAAGCAAAGAAAAGTGACATGCCCCAGACGACCGCCCCTCCACAAGAAAGCAGAATAATTAGGCACAAGTCTCTCACCAAAGGAGATCGTTTTCCTTGTGTAAGGAGCGAGAATATAGTGTTGTCTTAGTTCAAGAAGATAATCACATTTTCAAACTTATGCTACTAAAATGCTTCACTTCATTTTGTTCATTTATTAGGTTTGCAGCTCTTTGTGCAACTAAAATCATCTCATATTAACGTTAAGTGGCACACCTGCTCAAGTGGTGCTGTCTGAAGAGGCATTTATTCTGTTAAAATATCACTTAAGCCTTTGTGTTATAGTTGATTAGATCCCCTGCGTTATGGAGAGCAACGGACAACACTGAGAATATTGTGCAAATTAATTAATTTAATTTTAATTAAAGAGATTGAAACATTCTTACAAGCGTTTAATAGAACAGCTCCGCTTGCAATCCCGGATAAGATGGATGTAAAACTTAATATTCTACACTGCATTGACAGCAGCACTAAATAATAAATAATCCAACACAGTAAAGCAGACTGTAGTTTTTGAAATGTTTCAAGAATATCAGCCTTTCTGATTTTTTTCCACAAATCACGCCCTGCCTCTGCTTTTAACCCACTGTTAGAATATTATTTTAAACATATTATGTAATAACATTACACAACCTTACTTTAAAAGCAGTGCTGGTATCTCACCACTTTTTAAGCCTCATCTAAAAAGACAAAGTGCTAATTCTGTCAAACAGTTTGTTTGAAAATGTGCACAAAGTGACTGAATGGTAGACAAATGATTGCAAACTCATGCGAAGGCGTTGGAGCATGCACGGGAATCATAAGGAACATGCTAATCAGTTACCTGATCTTTTCAAATAATCTTGCTAATCTTTACGAGTTATCTCTCTTTCCTCTGCAAATGACAGTTTTTCTTTTTGTAATTGTTCCTCTTGGTAAGACGTCTTAATGAACCAACCGGCTAATGAAACCCAAAACAGCCTTAATGCTTTGGCACACTTTAATTCCCCCATTCTAATCATTCAAAAGCAGCAGATAAGATAGACTCCACAGCCATCGAGTCTCTCTAATGAGCAATTCAAGTAGCTGTTAAAAAACCTCAAGAATTGTTCCTCAAGTGACCTGGGA